TTTGTTTTGTATATTCTGCTTTTCGTTTTTTTCTCGATATTTTTATTTTATTTCCATCACTTGTTCTATTATCTGACCTTCCAGCGACAATTTACATCTTAGTAAATTTTGCTGTTATAACAACAAATTTTATTTAAAACTGATTGATTCTACAGAAAAAGTGCAAATAAAAATTTTTCAAACACATTCAAAATTAACTTCTTGTTCCATGACCGTTATCGATCGTTGGATATGTTGGCTACCATATTCGCTATCGTGACTTTATTGACAGTAGCTCTAAATAATGATGTAGTCAGATTTCCGTACCACTGTCTTACAGTTTTCAGTCATGATATTCTTCTTCTACCAGGGCCACGTTTACCTTGGATCTTTCCCTGAATGATCAAATGTAAAAGTTCATATTTTTCAGGTTGTTTCATAATGCGATCGAAGTATTCCAACTTGCGTCTCTTTATTATATTTTTGGTTCAGGCGTCTAGGGACCTCCTCATTTTTAACATTTCAGAATCTGTTACACATTTTATTTTAAGCAATATTTTCTATGGCGTATAAATCGTTGTTCCCCCACCTTGTACTAGGGGCGTTTTAGAGAGAAGTCCGGGAGTAGGAGTAGCAAACTTTTTTGCATTTTTTTGGATCCCAAAAATTTTTACAGGTTCAGTGGCTTTTTCGTCTCTAGCGAATAGAGTATCTAAGCGAAAAAATGAGTGATTATAATAATTTCTGATAATTAGTTAGAACTGTTAAAATTGTAAAACCTACAAAATACAACAGGCATTTTTTTTGGAATTTGTTAGGTTATATGAGATGTGATGCTATTATTTTGAATGGCTGTTATGACTTTTGTTTCTTCAAAAAAGAAAGTCTGGTCTGACTTTTCACTTGAATAATAGGTATCATCAGCATTATTACATGTGTTTCAATACATGAAATGTTTATTCTGATAATCGCAAAAAATTTATATCAAAATATGAAAACACGTGAAACCAATAGTTCTTTCGACGAGTGAGTCTTGAACTCAGTTTTATATATTTCTATATAGCACTCTTCTTTGTTGATATTTGCCAAAACTCGTATTCAAACTAATTAGTTGTAACTTCTCAACTCTGTAACATATTATTAACTAATTATACTATAATGATAAACAAGAACTCAGCTTTTTTCTAAATTGTAAATTGTATAAAGAATGTTCGACCGTAAAATGAAATGCTGCGACAAAAACATATTCAAAGCCAAATCCTAGTTTACAAAACATTTACATATGCATGTTTAAATATTGATTTTTAACAGAAGACGAAAATTTAATGTCTAAATTATTAACGAATTAATGGACAATTTTTTGTAATCAATATAAGCTCTAAATTACAAAATGGTTATTAAAAAATTATCTTTATACTTATTATTTGATTTTTTATTACATTCATTCTGTAGATTCATCGAATAAACTTGATGATATGATTTCTAGATGATCAAAACTTCTAAAACGAAGATGATCAAACTAAAATGTTATGAATTGTTAATGCTTTCTAGACGATCTGGAGCTTTCAAGAAACGCTTTAGGTTTGAAAATAAAATAAAGAAAACTACAACCACGGCCATGATTAATTATCCACATGCAAGAATCTTGATCAAAATGAAAAAAATAAATAAAAACCCCTAAACTAAAGTAGAGAAGAAACAAAGTAGAAGACATAAACACTACACAAGGTGGAATCTTCAAAACTCGTAATAGCTGTATCAGAGGAATAGTTAATTTCTATTTGAGCTATAACATACAAAAATGTATTGATCTATTATCACTAGAACGGCCGGACCAATTGCTTCATTTTATAACTCGCTGAAAAATGACCGGAAAATAAAAAGGAAATCGTGCACCAACTACATCAGACCAAAATCAACACAGCTGTTGAAAGAACAGCAACAATAAGAGAAAAAGAAACATATCAAACGAAACATACGCGTATAATATAAATATACACATTCACTTATCTTTTATTTTTAAAAACTTACCCATTCCATAACTTTTAGCAAATAAAACGAAAAATTTCGAGATTGGTGGCAGTGGAAGTGTTAAATAAATTCTGTAATTCGATTATAGAGGCTTAGGAAGTAAGACGTTGCTATTTTTTCCCAAACGCTTGTATTTCGGTCACTTAATAACTCGTTTAGGGCTATTGGGTCTCATCTCGTTTTGAGTCTGTCTAGACCGTTCATAAATGATGCTAGATAAAAGTATGTGTTTTATCTCGCCAGGTATTAATGACGCACGGGTAAAGAAACATGGACTCAACTGTATCTTTTTCAACTTACAGAGTCTACTAATATGTCCAATTTCGTTTTAGATTTCTATCCAATAACCGAATTTCAAAGTCCGAAGCACAAACGTTTTATAAAAAAAATTAAAAAGTTCGCAATACACTATCATCTATAAATCTACATGTACCTACCACTGTTTTTGAAAAACCATTAAAACTATAAAAGGAGGTAGAAATATTTAAAGTTAACATTCAAAAATTACAAGAATCACAAGAGGACAAGACAAGAAGGACAAGAAAATAAAAGACATGTTCGGAATCAAACAATGAGGAAATAAAAACTTAACTTTGGTGTTTTCATACAACAAATCTGTACACTCTCTATTGAAGCATATAAATAAAATTAAATGATCTTAAATATTATTTTAACTAAAATTATACTAATAAATTGATAACGATTAAAAGAAATTAAATTTTCGCCATGTTTAACAATTTTAATCCTATATAACCACTACGTGGCATTTTAAAATGAGTCCATTTTTTGTCAAAAGGATAGTTGCGCACACTAAAATAATTAATCGTCATGAATTCATACAATGGTAAGCTGCAATGTTGCCGATATCACAGAAAGTATTTAAATAAAATAATTATTACAACGTTTTTAAATTACAAAGGTAAAAATTATGCTAGACAAAAGATGCAATAATAAGTGTAGATCACTAGAATGATATGTAAAATTCGTTACTCTAACAGAAGAAAAAACCAGAATTACAGGCAAAAATGACATAATACAACTCGTGACTAAATTCTACAGTGAACTATACAAAGCCCCTGAAATACTAGGAAGAACCAATCAGTAACCATATGTCCCAGAAATCCTCCGGAAAAAGTAAAATCGATGCAATTACGTTTCATTTAAAAATAAAAAGGGGTAAGGCAGCTGGAATAGCTCGAAAAACAGTAAAACTGGTTAAATATGCTGGCAAAAAAATCTGGAAAATCTTCGCAGTCATATTTACGAACTGCCTAAGATCAAGATACATACCAGACCACTGGAATACAGCAAACATAATTCTTATTCATAAGAAAGGTACCAAGAGAATGTCAAAAACTACAGATCTATAAGTCTACTACCCATCGTATACAAGGTATTCACAAGGATTGTCAACAATAGATTAACAAATGCATTAGATGTTGCATAGCCAAGAGAGCAAGCTGGCTTCAGAAATGGATTCAGTATCCTGGATCATATCTATACGCTTCGAGAACGAACGATTAGAGCTAAAGAATATGAAATACCGTTAGCATTTACCTTCAATGATTTCGAGAAGGCTTTCGATTCTATATATATTCCAAGGAAGTAATAGAAGCTTTCGCCAACCAAGGCATTGACAAACCGTATACATAGAGTATTTAACAAATATATACAGACAAACAAAAGCTAAGGTAAAAATTTATAAAAACACTCCAGAATTAACCACTACCGGAGACGTCCAAGAAGGATATGCAATATCACCAAAGCTCTTCACTGTAACTAGAAAATATAGTCAGCAAAATGAACTGGCAGAACAAAGGCCTATCCATTGATGGAGAATACCTCAGCCATCTAAGATTTGCAGAGACATCGTTCTAATTGCTAATAATCCTGCAGAACTATATGAACTTGCAAGTAACCTGAATGCATCTATCAATGAAGTTGGCCTAAAAATGAACTTGACAAAAACAAAAACTATGTACAACGAGCTAGTAGATGTCCAAGATGTAATAATAAACAACACCGAACTAAGACAGTAGGGGAGTATGTATACCTGGGACAATTAATACATAAATCTGGCTCCTTACTACCAGAAATCAACAGAAGAATCAATTTAGCATCTTTTGGTAGAAATACAGTTATATTCAATTCGAAGATGAAACTCCACCTGAAGAAAAAAGCATTCGATCAGTGAATACAACCAATCATGATGACATACGGCTGCAAAACTTGAACAAAGGAAGAGATAATATCGAAACTCAAAGTCACTTAAAGGTAAATGGTAAATCAAAGACAGATCGAAAAAGAATATAATGGATCAGATAGAAAACCAAGGTCACTGATATTTAACAGGTGGGACAGGTGGTTTAACATGTGGGTAGGACATTTAACGAGAAGAACTGACAATAGATGGTCCACTGGAATTATGTTGTGGTATCCAAGACACCAAAAAAAAATGCAAAAAGGTGGCATGCAACCATATTTATATACGTATTTAAAAACTAATAAATCGGCAACATCGTAGTAAGTCATCCAAAATCAGTGTTAATATAAATGTCTTCGACATTATATAAAATAAATAATATAAAAGAAATAGTAATGTAAAGGTGAAAATTACCCAATGAAACACCCTACATTTTACTTAAATTTTTGTTAGGTATTTTTAAATATCTTCCATTGGGTGTTATAGCTTTAGTTGTAGTTTGTTGTTTCCTGAGTTTTACAGTATGTAGTAAGTAAACAGTTCAAGTGATACTCTTTCATAGGAGTAACGCTACAGACTTTCACAAACCAAATTTTTTCACTAGTGAAAAAACTAACTTACCCAGTTAACACTACCACTATACTGATATATAGGTCAACTGATTATACACCAAAGATTTAAATAGATATAATTGAATAATATTAATACAGGATCATATCAGTGTCAACCTGAATGTCGTGAGTTCAATCCCCCATTTAACTCCTATTTTTTTATTTTTTTGCCCTAAAACAGTAGTACACAGTAATATTACCATTTTTAAGCAATGTGCTAGTTACCACCCTTGTTATGTAATATTAAAGATTTATAAAATTAAATATAAAGTATCTAAAATATTTTGTGCCCACTGTGGAAATTTTTAACGTCATTAACTATTTACTTTTAAAAAGTCTTTATGTCGAACAATAGTGAGTATTAGTGCGCATAACTAAACGTTTGCTCAAATTTTTTATACAGTCTGAAATAAATAATTTTCTATACAATAAAATAAAATTAACTAGACTTATATCTTTGTACCCAAAAGTAATTTGTCAATATTAATCTGATTTAAACCTACTTCAATGTGTTTCATATGCACTTCTACGTTAGCCTGGAATACATGTTGATTAACAGGAGTAAGCTTCCTTTTAATTTGTTCCATCGTACCTTGCAACACTTGCAGCTCATAGGCATTGCTTTCGGCATCAGACATGTTTTTAACTTGAAGCAATAGTGATGTGAGATCTGTGATTAAATCCAATATTGAAGGATTCTGGCAAGGATCTTTATCCGAAGCTATAATACAGTTATGCTTATCTACAATATCTTTAGCTTCCTCGCGACATTTTTCTCTTAAATGCGAAGGAGTGAGCATAGCTGCTACGCTGGGCTCTGGTGCTATCTGTTTGCAGTAAATTTGCATTTCGTCAAGGTACTTTTGGAGATCAAAGTTTAATTTTTCAAGGTCGACGAGAACACTTGCATAAGTCCTTTCAAAATCGTCAGGAATATCTTCATCAAACGAGAACAGCTTTTCAGCTTCAGAATTCAGCGTTTTTAACATTTTTATTTTAAGTTTTTTAACATTCAGAATTTTAGTAACCAAAACCATCTTTTCGAGTAATTTTGCAGGGTAACCGCCTATTTTACCCTCATCTAAAGATGCTAAGAAGGGAGGAGTATTGAGCAATGAACCTGAGAGCAAAGGATCTTTCCTTAATTTCAAATTATTTGTTACAGGACTCTTTAATACAGGTGAAAAGGACACATTATTTCTAGGTCTAAATGTAGCTTGAAAACTCATTATTGATATCGTTTCTGGAGGTTCGTTTGAAAGAACTTCATAATCAGGTACAGAATGAGTTCCTAAGCCTTGTCTCTCAAAAGTAATACGGTATGTATTGTTTGAGGTATCGACAGCATCAATACTGCCAGTAAAGAGACCATCTTGTGGTTTTCTTAATCTTGCTGTTACCTTGGTTCCTATAACCAATTGCATAGGAACTTCTGGGGGCAAGTCTTTAAAACTAGTCATATCAGTTGCTTTTCTTTGTTGTAGAGCTCGTATTTTCTTTCTTTTCTTTTCCAATTCTAGTCTTTCTTCATTGAAGAATGCTTGAGAACATCTACGAGGTTTACCCATCATTCTTCTAATCTTCGTCCATTCGACTCGAGTTAATTCTTTCAATTTTAGATCAGGGAAGGATTCTTTCAAACATATAGTAAAATCATTGTCTCCATCAAAGAGACAACGATCAATATTACTATAAAACCATTCATAACATACCCATTTGTGAGCTTTTGGTAATTTCAGTAAATTTCTAAGCCTCAGTCCTATTTTTTGACCAATTTTTCTATCTGGAGAGTTTAATACAGGCGGAGGGGAGTCCCTTTCATGCTTAACTTCCTTAGATGGAGTCTTTTTAGGGGTAGTTTTATAGTCACTCCTCTCTAATTTCACTTTCACGGGTGTTGGCTTTTTGGATGGTGTAGCTTTTTGTTTCTTAGCACTTGGAACTCTGTGGTGCGGAGTATTCACAATATCGTCATCAAAAAATAGTCTATTTTTCTTTCTTATCCTAGCTGGCATCCCTCGTGCATTTAAGACTTGTGGGGGTTGCGTAGGAGTGGGTTTTGGGGGAGGCACTGTGCCAACTCTTTGTAATCCTAAAGCAGCAGGGCCTAATGTGGGAAGATCCTCATCTATTTCCATGTCATCATCTTCCATTACCTCTTGCTTTATGGTCATGTTTTCGTTGGTCATTTTGTCAGTAAATTTTATTCACCTAAAACGTTATTACATATTAATACTAGTCTATATAAAATCAAGAAAATTATAACTAACAATGAGTGTTATAGGGTTTAAAGGCAGATGTTTTGTAAAAATACATTATTGTTATGGTTGATAGGCTGTGGTATAGAATTACTTCTTCGTGACGGTTCGTCTGTAACGGGTGGAAGACATGTCTTCCGCTTACTACTGGTGATTTTTTAATATCCGTGGGCTTCTGTGAGGAAACATGTATCTAAGAAAAATTATTCCAGACCACAGTCTATAAACTTTAAAAACAATCATTACAAAATTGTAACTCCACCAAGTTGAGTGCATTGTAAACGGCTTTCCAATTGTAGTATCTTAATATTTACAATTAACTCTGATAAAGACAATTGAATTACTAAAACTAGAGTTTTGGTAAAGAAATCATACATTTTGATATTGCTTATGATGTTAATTGGAACAAACAAATTTATGGGGTATGTGTAGTAATTCCATGGAAGGTATTGAAATAATGAGAAAAACGCTTGTAATTATTGATTATTCGCAATATACTCCATATGGACTAGGGCGTTGTTTATTACAATCCAAAACATTTTATTGGGCATTACTGAAATATAACTGATCAACATTTATGTGGCTTTGATTTGAAATCATATCGACTTATATTAACAAAATTAATCAATATTAGATATCATATGTATGAATGATCGTTTTTAACCTTACCCTATATTTGGTGGTATTTACATATATACACTGTAATTTTTTTAGCAGATTTACCCTCTTCCAATATATAAATTTATCTTTATACCACGCGGTCCGTATGTATGGAATAATTTCATTTTTAGCGTTATTATGTACTATGGGGAAAAAAACCTGAAACAGGTCGATTTTTATTCTTAAATTGACAATTTACAGTATGAAAATATTATCCCCATCCAGCACCCCCTTTGAATTATAAGCACCCCCTCGAAAATTTTAAATAACAAAGGGGGCCGTGTGGCACCTTGTTAGAAAGGAATTTTAGTCCTCTGTTCAACAATATAAAGTTTTTTGGGTTTGTGCAATCATAACAGAGAAAATTAATTTTTTCAATTCAATTAAATGTTCAACTTGACCACCATTATTCACTTCTTGACAATAACCGAGGTGATTTTGAAATTCTCGTACAACATGTTGTATGACCTTGGGGTATACTTTGTTAATTTCTTCCATTATCCCAACTTTTAAATCAGCAATATTGCCTGGTTTATTAAAGTATGCTTTAGAAATAATCAGGTATTTTCGTATCTGTTTTGCTAAACATTAGGGAACAATTTTTAAAGATAATAAAATATTAGTCAAAAAACCAAATAAACAACGTCTGTGATCATATCCCCACTATCACTGTAACATGAATTGTATTTTCTCATCTTACGTTGTATATGTTATGGACAAAGTGATTATGTTAGCCATTATGTATAATGCCCGGTCATTATTAATAATGACTAACTTCAGCGGGCAATTTGATAACTTTTTACAATTTATCATATTGTCTGGTCATTATGAAACATGCTATACTATGGCCGGGCAATGTGATAAATCGGCGTTCTTAGTAAATCATGCGATCTTCAGCAGCAAATCAACGCGCTGTATCCAAGGTTACAGTCACCGAAGCGCGTCGGCCATTATTTATAAATCATATTGCAGTTGAATGTTAGTAATGGTATATACGACAAGTGGTTTGTTTGTGACATTTCTTTGTTAATTCTTTGTTTATAAAGTATTGCATAGTGAACTATGGAAAAAGAAGAACCATTAAGTGATATGAAAAATCGATTTAACAATCGGTTAACTGAATTAATTTCAGCAAAAAGTCAAAATTCACAAATTTTCACAAAAACAGCCTACATGGAAATGATACAGAAGGTAAAAAACTCTAAAAGTAAACAGACAAATAAAACGCCGAGTGATTATCAGCGCTTACGAAGATTCGACGTTATGACGATTAGAGAAGTAGAAAAATTGATTGTTCCTGTGAAAGAAGATAACGTAATTAAATACTACGTCCATACAGAAGAAATATTTGATACATTGCGCGATCTTCATATTACTATCGGGCATGGTGGTAGAAACCGAATGGAGAAGGAAGTACATTCTAAATTTAAAAATATTACAAGGGAGATGATTGTTATCTATTTAAATTTATGCATGACCTGTCAGAAAAAAACATAATGTTCCAAAGAAAGGCTTGGTGGTGAAACCAATATTGAGCAAGGAAATGAATTCAAGATGCCAAGTCGATTTAATCGATATGCAGTCACAAGCCGATGGCTGTTATAAATTTGTGCTTGTTTATCAAGACCATCTTACCAAATTTGTCCAACTTCGACCTCTTACAAGTAAAAGAGCAGAAGTATCGCATGTACTTTTGGATATTTTCACAATATTTGGGGCGCCGAGTGTGCTTCATAGTGATAATGGCAGAGAATTCGCTGACCATATTATCAAAGAGCTGTGTAGCATGTGGCCCGAGTTAAAAATGGTACATGGCAAACCCAGGCATTCTCAGAGTCAAGGATCTATAGAAAGGGCCAATCAAGACGTAGAGAATATGCTTAGTTCGTGGTTAGAGGACAACAATACAAACAAATGGTCTGAAGGCTTACGTTTTGTTCCCATGTTCACAAGCCATGTTCGGCACAAATTTGAAAGTTGGTTTAAAAAGCTCTCTACCCCAAGAAGTTCTGACTGATGTTAATTCGGAGGAAAACTTAGAGGTCCTGTTCAAAAATCAAGAGGCTGGGCTATCTACAGAACCGGATATAATACAAAATAATAATATAAATGTGGACTCTTCAATAATGTTGCCCGAATCAAGTTCCATATCATCTGGCTACACCCTGGACGTTCAAAAAATTGGAGCAATTTTAATTGATGAAAATTCATCTCGTGAATCTAGTCAAGTTCCAGAATTTTTAACAAATGCGGTAGAAACGGCTATTGTAGTTAATTTAGAAAATAATGAAAATCTGGATTCCAATATAGATATTAGAATAAACGATGTAAGGAAGAAAAGAAAATTGGCTTTGACGAATCTAGAACAACAAGCCGAGAAGATGTTAAAATTTTCCAATTCCAAATATCCATCGGCTAAACTAGGTAACACAGTTAGGATACGAGTGCCAGATGTGGACCGAGCTCGTAGTGATCAAAGAAATCTACTAGCTATCGTGACAGAGATAACTGAAAAAAAGCTTTACAAACTAGGCACAAAATATGGCATACTAAATCAGTTATATTCAAGAAACCAGTTTACCGTTTGTAAAGAAAAGTTTATCTCCATAGAAGAGATTCCAGACACTGAGATATCTCTTAGAGAATGCGCAAGAAAATCTTCTAACTGTGGTGGACAAGGATACAGTAGGTGCGGTTGTAAAGGTGGGTGTAAATCTGATAAGTGTAAGTGTCGTAAAGAAAAAAAAATATGTAACTCCAAGTGTCACCATAGTGGAACATGTTTCAACAAATAGTTATGTATTGTAAATCATTCATACAAAATAAATTTCGATGATGTAGCACGCAAAGGTGGTAAGTGTATTTTTATTTAAAATTGAGTTTGATTTAGAAGAAAAACGATTTAATTTCTCACTGGCCGCTTTGTGTGTTACCATCGATTTCGGTCATTAGAAAAAAATGCAAATAAAAACACAGAATTCTTTTTTTGGTTTCCTCAATTACCGTTAATACGTATTATATTTTTTATGTATACTTATTCATTAAATGTACTCATGTACCATTTCACAGAAGACTGCAAGACTGTTTTCATTAGTATATAAGAAATATTTTAGTTTTTACTACATACTTGATTGTATCAAAATAAATATATTTCATATTTAATAAAAATAAAAGTAGTTTTAATCATCCTGTCTAGTAGATGCCAAGCATTATACATAATGCCCGGGTAATGTGATGAATTTAATAGTATTTATTATATTGACCGACAGTATTGGGCATTTTTTATATAGCCCGGGCATTATGAAAAATGACCAATTAATCATATGGTCCATAACATATATATCAGCATATAAATATAAAAAGGAGACAACGGACGAAAAGAAGAAAATATTGGTTATCTAATTTGGGCAGTGGGACACTTTGATGATTAGCGACAAGATCTGTGTCTAGCCGTGGACAAAAAAAGACCTATATAAAGCATTGGAGGAAACAATCGTAGACCTATGTATGGCACTGGAGGAAAGAATCGTAGACCTATGTAAAGTACTGGGCGAAAAAATCTGTGTCGAGCACTAGACGAAAGAACGAAAGCTTATATGTAGCAGTGTATAAAATATTGGGTTCCCCTGTCAAGCAGTGGACGTTCAATTAGTGAATAGAAGAAGGTAACATGAGATGAAAACAGATTAGCTAAAGAAAAGTAGATGACGAAAGAAAGGAAAAGAAAAAATGATTCGACTTGTCAGTAAGCGTGATGTCACCCGAACACCTGAGCAGGTGCGAACATCAAAGGATGCCGCTTTTTCCCACGGTCGGTAAAATTTTCCCAGCCTCAAGTGCCGCAACATCAATCAATATGAATCTAGTAGGCTGCTTTCATTTAGGTATTTAAAGTTACTAAAAGAAGTCAGTATAATATTTGTGCGAGTATTAAATTTAATTATGGCTCATTTATTCGAGATTCAAAGAATAGACATTTTAATTATGATTAGTTGTGGTAATAAAACAAGAATTAAAAAGGAGGTTTGTGAAATGTTTAATAATAAATACCCTGGTCAACAAGTTTCGCAATATATAGTTAGCAAAACTAAAAAGAAGTTTCGTTATTTTGGACATGTAAAAAATATTGAAAAACCAGGATGATATGTTAAATTTACTTATGAAAAAAAGTTAAATGTACTTCTAGAGATTGAGGAAAATCAGCATAAGACAACTCGAGAAGATTCCGCCGTCAATGATATAAGTAAATCATCTATTTTGAGAGTTTTGCATAAAGAAAAATACCACCCTTAC